ATGTATGTAGATAGAATAAGAAATGTGCAGAATATGACAGTTTAATGGTGGAGGTTCACACATATTGATAGATGTCTTGTAATGCACTGTTGAGGAACCTGTGACCCAAGTGTTTCATTCATTGCATAACTACACCGTAGTTGTGTATAATGATATGTCAATACACCTTTGAAAATCTTGAAAGGGATGTGCAAAATAGCCATAATATACAGTCTTTAATTAACTATTAGTAGAGAATAACGAGTAATGAATATACTTTATTACTCGTTTCCATTCATGTCAATTGCAGATACATGTTTAGTCTTCTCAAGCACCAACTATCAAATATCTCTCCTGATTGTTGGCACTAGACAATCACCTTACCTGAATTTTACTCAGGTGTAACTAAAGTCTGATTTAAGGGTTGTTTATATTTCACATAATTAATCAGAATCTGCAAAGTAACTCAAATAAATGCAGTGGAGTAAAAATACCAGGTTAACCTCTGAATTGTAGTGGAGTAGAATTACAAAGTAACAATGAGCTGTCATGTGGGTATTAATGCTGCGCATTATGGACACAAGCGATTTTCACCCATTTATTAATTATATGTTTTACATTTGATAACACCAATGTGTTTAATACTGGCAACTTCTAATTGTGGGAAAAACGAAAACGTTCAGTAGAGACGTCCCATAGAACATTTTGCGAAACACAATAGCCAGCATGTGTAGTTCTAGAGGGGCGTTCGATTCCAGTTTTGGATAGTCTGGCGTGGTTTCGTTCCATTTCACACAGCTGTTTGACGCTCTGTGTAACCTTACGGGGGACTGTAGTCCTAAACGATAGCTGGGGATTATGGGTAGTGTAGTGTCTTCGGCCATCCTAAACTCAGAAATGTTGACAATCGCAATGATGCTTGTAATTCCCTCGAAGCACAGGCAGACACAAGTGGCTTTCTCATAACGGGTTTATTCCTCCGAATCCACCGTGAAAACTACACAAACAAACAGTATAAATGACAAACATAGTTTCGTGTTAGACACACAATAACATGCACAGCATGTGAGATAATAAACATAAAAGTAATACAAACACAACATCATACCTTGTTGGGCTGCATGCTCTGTAAACAGAGGGAAGTATTCTTCAGTTCTCTTCACAACTTATATGTATAAGAATACAAAACTAACGGAGCTTTAAGTATCCGTGCATCTTACTCTGAGGGTGCTTCTCATGTTCTCGCTCTCTAACTCACGCGAGAACAGCATAACGAGACGTGAGCTTGGACTTCAAAATAAAAGACGAAATATTGCACGCATGAAACATTACAACAATAATAATTAGTACACTTAGAAAATACACATTACAGTTAAATTATGAACATGTCAAGGCTGCACTTACAATGCTCGAAATGTCCCTTATAGGCCTACGTCTGTTTCTGGTTATTTTTATTTTGAAATTCAGTTCCTGACGGACGCCAAAAAAGCCCGAGATTATGGAATTAAACCAATAAATAAAATCAAGAATAATTGTGTATTATTGGTGAGTAAATAACAGTGTGTTATTTTGAAAAGAATATCGAATTAGAAGGAAAAAAATATTTAAAAATACAGATTTCCGTATTCTGAGGCTCTGAGCCCCATTTCTTTTCCTCACAGACGGCAACAAAAGTCCGAAATTATACGATTTCAAATAAAAGCAATAACTGTGGCTTGATATTGAGTAAGAACATGTTTTTATGAACCACACAGCTTCCGGTCTTCCTCGACCCGACCGGAGAAAAAGACGTGCTGCAGGCAGTAGAAATACATTGCTTTTAAAATCGTGCTGTGCAACACGAAAACACGAAAAAAAGGGGAAAATCGTGTTGGTGAACACGAATCAATAGATTAAAAATGGTGTTGGTGAACACGAAATGCCGTGAGACTGGGTTGGTTCAGCGGGCTGGTATGGGGCTATATTTGTCTCTATAATATTTGTGTGAACATAAAAATGATCTGTGTGTAAATGTGCATTCAAAAGATTTGCAAACTCACAAAAATTTAAAACGGATCTGCAAATACGCAAAATGTTTTCACAAATTAAAAAAATATCTGTGAATACTCTAATTAGTTTACAAATAAACAAAAGGAATTTGTGAGTCTCTCTAACATTGACAACTTTCAATCAGGCATTTATGAATCCATTTTGTATTTGTCGACCAAAAATGCGTTTGTGGATCTCAAATCTCTGCTTGTGGATCGTCTTTTTACACACACAGAGTTTTGAGACAAACTTTCTGCCGGTCTCGGCTAAAAGCTACTCGTGTCACTCGGTTATTTTCGGAAACCACGTGATGGCCTGCTAATGACGACATTTCCGCATTTCATTTCAAGTAATTAGAAAGACAGATAGATAGGTAGGTAGATAGATGGATAGATTGATGGATAGATGGATAGAGAGAGAGAGGGATGGATACATACATACATACATACATACATACATACATACATATATACATACATACATACATACATACATACATACATACATACATACATACATACATACATACATACATAGATAGATAGATAGATAGATAGATAGATAGATAGATAGATAGATAGATAGATAGACAGACAGACAGACAGACAGACAGACAGACAGACGGACGGATAAATAGATAGAACATAATAAAACATAATAAAATAAAAAACAATTAAAAGCAATAAACAGTAAGTGGTGTGTATATACATATAAGGTAGAAAGGACATGATAAATATTACAACATTTAAAGCAGCCTTACTATGAAGGCTAACCTAAATACGGTGCTTTTCTACAGATTACCTTACCACTGCACTGGTAAGGTATAACTAGGCCGATTAATAAGATGTGAAGTGCTTAGTAACTTTGACTCGCTTGAATGAATACACAATACAAATATGAAGAAAAAGTTATCTCTGGGGCTGCTTTGCTGCCAGCTTAGCCCCCCCCCCCCGGGACCCGAAAGTGGCGTGGCCCAAGTAGCCTACTTACTGTAGCAACATCAATATGAATTTGCTCGATATAGGCTGTAGTGAACAAATAAACTAACACAAACTAACTGTATCACTATAACATTATGATGGTGATAAAGAATGCACCTAACGTACCGCTGTTCAATATAGTAATACAAAAACAGTGCATTAAACAAACCACCATGCTCTTACTTTGAAACCATGAAATGCGGAAATGTCGTCATCAGCAGGCCATCACGTGTTTTCCGAAAATATCCGAGTGACATGAGCAGATTTTAGCCGAGACCTTGAGGAAACTTTGTCTCAAAACTCTTTGTGTGTAAAAAGACGATCCACAAGCTCATTTTTGGTCAACAAATACAAAATGGATTCACAAATGCCTGATCGAAAGTTGTCAATGTTAGAGAGACTCACAAATTCCTTTAGTTTATTTGTAAATGAATTATAGCATTCACAGATCTTTTTTTAATTTGTGAGAACATTTTGCGTATTTGCAGATCCGTTTTACATTAGCTCATTTTTTTTGTGTTTGCAAATATGTTGAATGCATTTGTGGAAGGTGTTTCACATTTACATTTACAAATCACACATTTACACACAGATCATTTGTATGTTCACACACATATTATTGAGACAAATATAACCCCATAGGCTGGCAACGACTTTGAAGACACACACACACACACACACACACACACCCACACACACACACACACACACACACACACACACACACACACACACACACACACACACACACACACACACACACACACACACACACACACACACACACACACACACACACACACCACACACACACACACACACACCGTGATGCTGTGATGTCATTGAGATGAATCTGAGGCTGTCAAGACAAACCCCAATTCACCATTTACTTTGGGGGGCCTAACACATCATTACTGTCTTGTAAGAACCTTGGGAAAGTTTCAATTCAGCCAATAAAGTAATCAAATATGTGTAATAATCGTATGTAACTAGTTGCTTTACAAATTAAGAGTTTTACACATAAAACATGAACATATTCTGTCAAAGATAATAGGTTCCAGTTTCTATAATGTGAACATATGCTGCTTTTTCTTTTCATTATTTTTATTATTTGAACACTAGCTTTCTGCGATATACTGTAAAATATTTTGATACGTTTGAATATAATTAGCTTTAATATGTGAATTAATTGAGTCGGGTGTTTTTTGCAGTGAAGCAATCTGTGTTTTACAATCCATTCTGACATTATTTAAATGTAATGCTACACATTTAAAAGTCATGCCTTTATTCCTTTGAACAGTGTAAAACCTCTCACACATAGACATTGTGATAATGATAGGGCTGCATTGAAATCGAGTCGGATATATGTCACTCTCTAGTCTTAGTCTGACTGACATGATATTAACAAATCCCTAACACAGGTTATTCAAATAATTAAACAGGGTTGAGCATTTAAAAAGTGATCCTATGCTTCGTATGTTGAGTCTTGTAATTAATAAGTAAGTATTTTATTACATGAAGAGAAATGTAATGAAAAAAAAGGAATGAAAATACAAATATATTTTATACAAAACATATACAAAAATATTTTGTTGTATATGTTGCATGCTTTCCCAAAGTATATGGGAAACAGTCCTATGAGTAATTTTGTTCAACCGTCATTGTGTGTGTGTGTTTATGTGTGTGTGAGCAGTTTTTCTCTCTATTGTGCGGGCGGCTTTGATCTTATCGATGTTAAAACATCCTCATGTGCCTTGACATGAGGATTCAAAGAGCAGGTTACATAAATACATAATGAAAGTCTCGCGGAAATTTGTCAGACAGTGTCATATGTGTGTGTGTGTGTGTGTGTGTGTGTGTGTGTGTGTGTGTGTGTGTGTGTGTGTGTGTGTGTGTGTGTGTGTGTGTGTGTGTGTGTGCAGGTATCATGTTTGCCTTGCATAAGAAATGCAAAAGACTTAAACTTATGTTTTCTTTCTCTCCGTCCCTCCCCCTCTGTTCCCTCCCCCCCAGGCGCTGACCTCTTCTCTAACTGCACAGAGGAGTGTAAGGCCCTGGGCCACTCGGACCGCTGCTGGATGCCGAGCTTCGGGCCCTCTGATGGGCGCCAGGGCCCGGACTACCGCAGCAACCTGCACGTGCCCGGCATGGACTCGGTCCCCGACACAGAGGTATTTGAAAGCCCCGAGCTAACGGCTGATCAATCATTCTCCACCTTTGGCAAAGAGACGCCTCTCAGTCACCAACACCTCCACCACCATCTCCTCAAAAACCATCACCACCAGCAGGGCTCCCTAGAGAGGAAAGAGTTTGTGCCCTATAACCCGGCTTATTTAAGTGAGTACTGTATTTTTCCCCCTCTCTGATCTGGTGATCGAGTTAGGTGAAAAATAAAAAGATTCAAATTTCAATTTCCCCCTGGATTGGCTGCTGGAACGTAGCGTTTACTCAAGTACTGTATTTAAGTCAGTTTTTAGTAAACTGTAGTATTTCTGTAGTATATACACTGTATATACACTACACATACACATACACATAGTATATACACTGTAGTATTTCTACTTGTACTAATGTAAAGAGTACTTCTTCCATCTCTCTATAAGTTGCTACGGCGTCAGCGTGGAGGAAGCTCTGACTCAGTTTGGGAGAATGGCTGCCGTAATATAAGCAACACTGCCCCCTCATTGAGGGGGGGCCTCAAAGAGGTTGTTTTCTCTCAGTGAAGAAGAAGAGCGGGGAGCTTAACGTCTCTCTTCATCTGTCGGGTGTTATTGCGTAGGAGCAGATGATCAAAACATTGTTTTAGGCCAGGGAATTACTGTTCCTTAACTCTCATTCAAAGGCCACAAAGAGATACATCCTCAATCACTGCAGTTTGGTGATAATGCTTAATTATAATTTTGTCAAGCAGCGCCTGAAGAGCCTCCCCCCCTCTCATCATCCGGCACAGCTAGCAGGAATGATCTCACTGTCAGAGCACCGCTGCTCCCCTTGCCAGTGTTTAAAACCACAGCGTGATGTAGCAACAGCTGGGAAGTCTTTATTTCCCTTTAATTGATGTTTCATTCATTTGTTATGCTTTTTAGTTTTTGTTTCTTCCTGGATCAAAAAGTGATGTCAAGAAAGCTACCATTCGCTAACATCATAATTTCTTCTCTGGATAATGTTATTCAATATAACATCTTACTGATTACAGCAACACTGTATTTCAGATGTTGAGAAAAGAATAAAGAAAAAGCAACCACAACAGTAAAAGAAAGAAATACAAAATAAAGAAAGCAAACCACACGTTTAAAAATGAAACTCAGAAATAACTCAAACTGTTGCTCTACAAACCATTTAAAAAAATATATATATACAAAACAAGATTCACAAAACATGGACAATTCTGAAAAAGTATTACCATAAATATACATTAATGAGATATATTTGACAAGGAACGAGTTATGTAATAATAACATCATCACTTCAGGTGACCAAAGGACATTCTGAGCAGGTTATTATAACATTATCATGATTATGGCAAGGATTCCAGGTTAGCGCAGTAGCTATGGTACGACAAAAAAAGAATAGGTCATCATACCGATAAGAAATACAAATCAACCTAACAGAAAAAATAAATACAATTTAATATCAATGTAATATACATGAGCATTGACAAGCATTGATCTATCTATCTGATGCAAACATAAGAATAATAAAATAAATAATAATGCCTCATTCATTAAAAAAAACTATTATAAAGCCATAGCTGCGATGAAAATGAGACATATTTATATAAAAGGCAAGACCACCGGGTCTGGGAATGTGAGCAGCACCAACCCTGCTGATGTCCCACAGGGGAGAGAAAGGACACATTTCTCCTGCAACCACAAAACCAGCAGCTAGCATCACCACGTTCTCCTCTAATGCTGCCCAGCCTTCAGTTGAAGCACCTTGTGTTGTTGTGCGCTGATCGGCTTCTAATAGTTACCATGGATATTATGGGCTTCTGATGCAGCGCTCAGAGTGAAGGGCTCAATATCTCTGTTTCCCACCTCCACTCACTCCCTCCCAAAGTAGATCACTGTGGCCTTTATGGTAATGAGTGCGGGGGTGGCCACTGAGGAGGGAGGGGGGGGGGGGATAGAAGATGATGCCAAGAGGCTGAAGCTCCCTAATCTGATCAAGTGAGCGAGTGATACACAGAGAGCCTTTTGTGCTGGGGGGGCCGGCCTGGGGTGGGGTCAGGGTGGGGTACAGAGGAGAGAGAGGTGGGAGATTGATAGCCAGAGCCCGTTGATTACCGTCATCAAACTCAGACTCCACGGAGGCGAGGGGGGGAGGTTAGACTGGTCTTTTGTTGGTGTCCTAAATAAATTGGCCATGCAATATTCTCCAGTCCCCCCTCTCACACACACACACACACACACACACACACACACACACACACACACACACACACACACACACACGCACACACATATATATGCTTGTCTTTATTGCATTCTGGGGGTACCTGACCATCCCTTTTGGGATCCACACTTTCTGAAGGTTGTCCAGCACTGTAAAGACACAGGCAGAATCCTGAAGTGGACTCAAACAAAGATTTTACTTCAAATGATCAATCAGAGAAAGTAGAGGTCACTGACAATGTACTGATAGCATTTTAATTAATATTTAAGCTATTATAGTAATGTTTTTTATTAGTCTATTTACCCACTGTGACACTGGCACGTATACAGGCGGTTGGTGCCCCACGTAAACTGTCAACGGGGGAGCCTCGCTGCGGGGAAACGGTGGACCTAGTGTCCCGAACGGAGCGGGAATAATAATAATAATAATCCGTGCATTTTATCCATTAATTTCCCCAACATTGTGGTGAAAAAACCACACGTTTAATCCATGTTGGTGTACAACTACAAAAAGCATCGGTTTGTTTTCTCATCAGGAAATGCGGACCGGCTCAAACAAACGATTTTTAATCATCATCCTCACGATCATTTAATCTATCATATGTTCGCCGAATTGACATGAAAGCACTAATAAATGTAGTTTCATCCACTTGAGTTTACAACTACAAAAATAATCGATTTGTTTTTATATCACATCCTACGGGAGGAAATTCAGTAGCTCTCACTACCGATTTGTAATCCTAATGTAATCATCATCTTCACCACGATCACTTATGTTTATGTTCACCGAATTGACATGAAAGCACTGACAAATATGAATATACTGTAGTCAACTTCATTAAAACGTTATTAACGTGCCTAAACTCAGTAATTCACCATTTCTACGCATGACAACACACTTTGTCCGTGTTTGGCTCTCTCGCGGCACAGTGAAGCGTTCCCGCATTGACGTCACTTCCGGCTTCCCCCAACACTTCAAAATGAGTCGAAGGAATTTCCCCGCGATGTTCGAAATTATTGATATTTATCGGATCGGTATCGCACCTTCTTTTTTAAGCTGATGGTTCGAGATTACTAGTAGCCCAATATTTCATTGCACAACAGTTGTTGGGAGGCTGTCACAGGCTCTTTAAGTAGTTTTACGACATTCTTCCAGAATATCAGCAATAATTCTGATTCCATTGACCTTTGATATAAAGGGCATGGTGGCAGAAGTTTCAGAGGAGAATATCTCAAAACCTCACACATGAACGCACCAAAACTAACTACATAAGCCTGGTGGTAAACTATATACATTTTCTAATGTGTTTGAAATAACCCTTTTACATTGGATTGAAACAAAGAAAAATTGCTTTCAATATTACACCAGTAACTGAAAATGCAAGAGAGAAAATAAGAGGATGCAATATATAATGTTATATATTCAAAACAGTTAACATTATACACAAGCAGATCTAAAAGATGTCAGTGTAGAACCATGAAACATTACATCAACCATGGAAGAACATTCAGTAACAAAGTGTGGTCTAAAAAGTTGACCTTTTTGCCTTCTCTGGGTCTGTGGTTGAGCGGCTGGTGGAGGTGTCAATGCTGACCATTCATGGGAACTACATGAGAGTATTATGGTTTGAAAAAATGTGTGTGAGAAAACACATTTCACTGAGGATGCTTCATCTGTATTGCTCCCATCTCTCATCGTTGTTTTATTCTCCTCCATCTGAGTGGATGTGACTTGACCCTCTGAAAACTAGATATACAAAATAATCAATTATGTGTTGCAAGTGATGCAAAAGAAAATTAGATATATCCCAAGCTAAAACTTGAAGATTTGATCCGGCTTTTTGGGTGTATAATGGCTAAAAACAAATCTGATCCTTTCTTTAATGTGTTCTCCCTCCTTTTGTCTACCCAAACACACTTGTATTTCTACGCTGCTTTTATTTACAGCTGAACTCTACAGGGTGAACTGGTTTGTAATATCAAAGTAATCTTTCATTCATGTCACATCAGTAATTTAAGTCTTACAATTTAGTATTTATGATGCAATACTTAATTTATTTTTATGAAGTAGCTCATGATACAAATCTAATTGAAATGATGTTAATTACGACAATCTGACTTGCCATAAGCTGATACAAAATGGTACATTACAAAAGATCAGGATTACCACAAACTTGAATGGGATATCATTTTTTTTAAAAACATTTAAATGTCTTGATGATTTAAAACGTATGAAAAATGTTTAAATTATTCATTAGGATTAAAACATGAATTAAAAATAGGAAATTATCTTTCTTTTAAATGTGTACTTTATCATCCAGTTACCATGGACCCCAAAACAACAGCACCCCTGACATGTGTGTGTGAGACTACTCTGCTTAACGCCCCCTGACTGGACCCCATTTAATGAAGTCTGGCAGCATGAATTGACCTCTCACCAACAGTTGGTATGACTGGTAAAAAGTAAACTGAGCTAACGTTAGAGCACACATGTCGAACATGATGTTTCCTTCAGTTTATGGTCAGAAAAACAGAAAGAAGTGCAGTTTAATGTGGTTCTAGTAACACAGTAACGTGGACCCCACAACAACAGCACCCCTGACATGTGTGTATGAGAGTATTCTGCTAAAGGCCCCTGATTGGACCCCATTTAATCAGAAAAACCTGACTGTGTTCGGCAGCACAAATTCAGAGATACACTGATCTACAGAAAAGCCAATTGAACCATCAAATGCCAATACCAAATATCAATAAAACAGGAAATTGTTAAATACTGATTTATTAGGGAAATTAAGTCAAGGGACAAATCCATTGAAGACGTACCTGTGTGTTGGAGATTGAAGATCTCTGAGGAGCTGGCTCACTCGGGATCTCAGCCTCAGTAGACTCGGTGGCAGTAGATTGCTCTCCAACCTGAAGAATAATTCAACATTATTATTGAGA